GGGCATTTTCAGGGTTCTCATTACTCTGTCGGCACTCCCTCTCTCTCTCTTCATGCCCTCTCTCCCTCTCGTTCTCTCTCTCTGCGCAGTCTTCTTCTCTCTTCCACTGCGCAGTCTCTCCCCCACTTCCACTGCACAGTTTCTCTCTCTCTCACCGCACAGTCACTCTCTCTCACTCATTGCACAGTCACTCTCTCTCACTCACTGCACAATCACTCTCTCTCACTCACTGCACAGTCACTCTCTCTCACTCACTGCACAATCGCTCTCTCTGACTCACTGTATAGTCACTCTCTCTCACTTCACTGCACAGTCTCCCACTCCCCTTCTTGCTCCCTCCTGCTCCTTAGTATGAGGCGTGTGTTGTGTCATCCTTCATTGTAGATTATAACCCGGCTCCTCCAGAAGTTTGCTTCCTGCCACGAAAGGGCAGGTTCAACGATGGTAGACAACTCAACACTTAGCTGCAGCAGCCGTGTCTGCCCTCGCTGCAGGTCGCGTGCTCATGCGAACAGGTACGAACCAGTCACATTCCAATTGCCTTGGTCACTTCTCCTGTTGACCTAACATACGGGGGTTGACGTCACCTAACATGTTGATGCAATTCGCTCCCCCATAGCTCCCGTGCCAGCGACAACACCTCATGATCGAGCACTGGGTCCTTCAGACCCGTTTGCTGCGCTCGCCGTCATTCACTGTCCGTGCGCTGCGGTCCCTCTGATCGCCCCAGTTCTCGAATGTCCCTTCTCCTTCCTCTAGCCCAGCTATATTCCCCTCTCATGGCCTCGTCTGTCCCCAATAGTCCGTTGCCGCTGGCCCAGCCCTGGGGACTCACTAGCCTTTTGGGTCAAAAAGCGCTAGGATCGCTAGTACCAGTGGCCTCAAGCCCGCAGCAACCGTTGGGCCTGCTCTGGTACCCAAGTTTTTTTTGGCTTGGTAGGCCAGGAGAGATTGCCCTGCACCAGTACCCGTGTCATGTCCGCTGAGCCGCAACAAATACCTGGCTGCGCCAAACACCATACCAATTTTGATTTGCGGACCCACGAATCGTACCAACATTGAAGTTCAACCAACGACCGTTCCATCGTGGCAACACCAGATCGAACCATCCACCGTTCCAAGCAGCACGTGGATTGTACCAATTCCGTACCCGGAATCAATGACAATCTGACCCGGCCACCGAAATTCGAAAACCAGTCCCTGTGACCCGACCGTTGATGTAACCAAAGTCCGCGTCATGGTGGTGTTGGTACAAACACCGCTCGATAATCAAGTGTGCACCCGAGTTCCGTATGAAAATCAAACACGCCATGGGAACTCATCAAAACACGGGTGCCGCACAGTCAATAATTCCCGAGTTATAACAAGGATAAAATTCTAGTAGAACCCGGTAAAATTAAGGTAGGGTTAATGATTAAATAAAATCCTCTTTAAATCGGCACGGAGTAATAATTAGGTAAATCATAGTTAAGATTGATGAGGGCGGAATCAGACAAAACTTGTTCAATAATAAAATAATCACTTGTTTTTAATTTCATCATTAAATCAGATAAAATTTTTGATTTCTTTCTTTGTCAACTGGTCAGCGTGAAAAGGACCGCGCGAAGGCCTACTAGCTCATTCACGTTCCGTAGCTGACCAATTCGAAGACAACCTCAGAACAGATGAAAAAAGTAGGCGCCAGGCGTGGTAGACGCGGGCGTCAAAGTCACCAAATTTAAGGGTTAGTATCAACGGTCGTCACAGGGGTTTTTAGAGTTAGTATTATGACTCTGATGAAAGTGTCGGTTGATTCTTCCTTCAAGTTACGCATTTAACCCAAGGCTCAATCTTTGGTTTTTCGGGTGGCCGACTGGTCTGTGGCCGCCCGACAATAACCCCAGACCTCTTCTCGACGTCCCCATCGAGGCCTCACCTATCTATCTAAAAAGCATGTCACTGAATCGAAGGGTGCTTCTCTTCTCCTGAAACGGCAATCGTTGACCAGAGAAGGACGTTCTCCAGGATTACAGGGTTCGACAATCCCTGTGTCATCCACTATTCTGTGAGGAATCACCTCATCGTTAAGTAGAGTCCCCATGATACCACTCCCTGGAACGTAAAATACGTCTTAAGGCACGTTCTCTCAGGCATCATGGGAAACGGGCGTGGTGCAGTCCGTTCTAGCGCGTGAAGTCGTGACTGATGTGCGACTGGAATGACGTTGGTAAATGGCTTGTCTGCTAACGGCCTAGAATCAGTGAAGATTTCATCAGTCAAACGTACCGGTTTCCCTCATTCGGGATCAATAAGAATCGTGTCTGTGATAGACACTTTTGTGGCCCCGATGATATATAGGGGTTCATCTCATGTTCTTTTGGACGCTTCCCGTACGGAACATCGCATACGTTGACTAAGCGCTAGCCTCAAAGGTGCTGCTATATAAGTAACTCCCTCGAGGCCTCGTTTTCATGGTGAGTATTCTTCGTTCTTCTTTCTCTCCTTCTCGATCCACAATAAC